AAAAACAAAATTTTAGGATGGCAGCAGGAGTTTGTCCCCAACTATTGGTTAAAGATTTGGTTAAAGGTCAGAAACAACTCAAATGAATCATTCAATTTATTTCAAACTGATGCAGTTTTCCTGTTATTTTGATTGAAAAGCATTTTTTCTTTTCATTCATCGTATAATAAAACATTTTACAAAACTAATTTAATATTGGAGAACAAATACCAAAGAGTTGACATGAGCTTCAAATCAGGAAGTAAAAGCAAACCAAAATAAAAATATGAAATGAATGGATGATGGGACAATTACCCAACACACTACTCTACAGTAGTAGAGATACAGTCTCCTAACTTCCGGAAAGCCAGTGGCAATGCTAAATACAGTTTTTAAAAATATTGCCAGTAAGCCCAGAATTGAAGGAAGGAAACCGGGCTCACGGCAAGAAAAAAGTATAATTAAACCAGTCTCACTCAAAGCCGGTCAAAATTAGGAACAGAAAATACTTGGAAATTACTGAAGTACCTTTAACTTCATTTTAGCAGAGCTGAACTTCTGAATTTGCCTCACAGGTCACTCAGTCCTCACCACTTCCTGTTAGATAATTAGTGTTGGGGGAAATCTGTTCCCCAGTCTGTCAATACAAATGAGATGTACTTCCCAAATATGAAAATAAGATGCATGTTCTGAGATTAAATTCAGATCGTATGAGTCATGCATCTGTTTCTGGAATGAAATTGGGAATAATGGTGGAAATTTAGAGAACACTAAACTTGAGGTCAGATATAACTTGTTAATTATCAAATAATTTATAAATTCATATATTGACTGCTTGAAGTTTCAAGCAGAGGCTCCGAATAAGGAAATAAAAGAAAACCAGATTTTTTCTGATCTTTAATGGCTACAAAAACACTCACAAAACAGTTTGAGGACCAATACTTTATCACATTTGTGAAGGTTTTCTTTTAAGCATTTATTTTTTTATTTATATGATCGTCTTCAATCAAGTTAAATATATTGATTCTTGGTTTTGTGAAATATTTACGTCCTGGACTGAAAAATAATTGGCGTATATTTTAAATATGGCTGTTCTGCACATGTTGTGCTCTGGACCTTTTTTGTGAAACTTGTACTATTTTAACCAAATTTGTCCGATATGTGCGAAAGTCCACTTGTAAAAATATTCAATCAAAAGTGAAAAATATAAATCAAAAGGACCATATGATATCCCAGGAGTATTTAAGGGAATCAAACAATTACGACTATGAAAATATGTTTCCCTCAGTGAATGATACTAGTGACTCTGTACAAGTTTTAGTTTAATTTTAGTCAAGCCATGGTTAGAGTTTTACCTGTAATTTAACCGAACCTCCTCATAAAGATTATAATTAATGTTAGGGTGATGGTGGGATAGGGTAACTCAGGGTACATCCAATTTCAGGGGGCCACATAGAGATTAAAAAAGGACGAACATCCATTCACACTCAATTCTGAACTCTCAAATCTGAATTAGACTGATCAACAAATTCCACTGTAAATCAGCTGAGGGATTTAGTTTTTGTCACTGTTGGTTGTAATGATTCCTTATACTGTATTTCTAATTTGCTAAAAAAAAAAAAAAAGAAAGAAATGAAAAGGTTGGCTCAGTTCCAGTCATCAAAAACCAAATGGAGGAAAACGCCACAATGCTAATTATTTCCTGAGCAATTTGTGCATTTGCATAGAAACGATACTTAACACCCACAATCTAATATGCAGGAAAGTTTCTGATCGAGGCATAGAATGTGTGAAATCTGACAAAACCACTCAGGCAGAAAAACCCAGTTACAGTAGCTCTGCAATTACCACAGCGAGAGCGAGGGAAATGGAAAAAAGTCTGACAGTTTGAAAAGATTTCCTTTTCAAAAGGAAACTGACAAGTCATCAAACTGGTCAGAAACAAAGTATTTATCAACTGAGGAATATTCCTGTTAGAAAAGCTTCCTAGACAGATACTCTTTTTTTAACTATTTGCTACTCAGAAACTAAGTACCTGGAAAAAAAACCCGATTCTGACCATTTGGAGATCCCTTAGAGACATCAAGAGGCTTTGGGCACTGAGTGTTTTGAAGAACTATTTAAGAAGAATTAGTTAGTTCTCTACCCTCATTAACGTGTGGTACTCAAAGACTGAGCACGTCAAACATTAGTGACATCACAGTAAAAGCAAAAGTGGGGAAAAAGAGATGCATTAGCCTATTGATGTCCATTATTCCAACTCTGTAACACTTCCATACATAAAGCAAATGAAATGGCATATTTATTCCCCAAATGGTGGCTGATGCATGCAGGAATCGTCTGGAAACCCAGATTTGCTTCGAGTTTTATGTTTTAATTCACTTTTAAACTGATATAACATCTACAATAAAGAAAACAGTCTTTAATTGAAAATGAATCCAAATTTTAAATCCCATTGAGCTCTGAGCTGGAGTTTAATCTAGGATGTGTTCACACGTGTTTTTGTAAATCACATGACTCCTATGGATCGGATTAAGGAAAAATTTGAATTTCTCTTCGACTTTAAGGATAGATGAAACTTTATTCTGCAAGGACTGTTTCTGCAGAAACAAAAGTAGAGCATGAGGAGAAACAGCAAACAAAGCACACATGACTGCAGACACTTCCTCATTGGCACTATTATTGGCATTTGTTTTACGGTACCCCCGCCGAACCTAAACCATCTGCCTGCCAACAAGGGAAACCACCACATTTCAATTTCCCGGCTTTCGACTTCAGAAATGACCTACCCTTCTGCAGAGATATTGCTGAGCTAAGTCTGTGATTAAAAAAAACACAAAAAAACAGCTTAGTTCCGGAAGTTGTTAAATCTACCTTGTTTAAAATCCTTTTTACACATAATTTCTGTCCTCCGCCATTGGTAAACTGACTAGTTTCGGTATATTGATGAGAACTTTTCCACAACTGGTAAGTGACCATTTGTGAAACGCATAGTATTCAACAAAGTGCCAAAGTCGAAGGCCTCCTTCGTTTCTTTTTTGTGTTTAAGTTTTGCTAGGCTCAGAGCAAACTGTCGGAGGTTAAATTGTCCTTAGCAAACTGGATAAGGTGAGTTTAAGTGATGATGATGACGGTCAGCAGTGACTGACCCTACATCCTGACCAGTTTGGTGTAACTCCTCACAGGTTATCTGGCAGCCTGAATTTTGCTAGTGACAAATGTTTAGCATTTTTTATCCCTCTTTCCCGAGAATAAAATAGAGTTCATGTTAACAGATGATATTTTAGCTGGTTTTGGATTCTCCGGAGCGTTTAAAAATGTGTTTATCCAGTGATCTCGGCACCACCAGTCCTTGGACTATGAGGCAATCACACTGTCTCCTTTTTTATTTTTATGATCATATACATTTGAAAAAGAATTGGTTTAGTTGTCAGAAATTAGACTAAGAACATAAAACACCTCATTACTATGTATAATGTTGAATTAAAGCATCACAAAATACATATATAATGACCAATGTCTGTGGGGAAGTAATTTTTTTAGGATAAAGGTAGATCATGAAAAAGCAGTTTTGTGTCTGGTTATCTCAGATCTTATACCTAAAAATTGTGCTTACTAACAAGTAAAGGGGGGGGGGGGCATAACCATCCTGCCCAAGAGAACAGGAGGTAGAATCATAAGAGGCGAAATAAGAAGAAAAAAATCAAGGAAATCCAATTTGAGGATTTTTAAAGAATGTATTTGTAGATTATGGTGGACAAAAAGTACTTGGTAAAGAACAAAAACTCAATACTTAACGTAATATTTGGTGGCAATGAAAGAGGTCAAAGGTTTCCTGTAAGCCTGTTAGAATTTACTTATATTAACCTACTATAGTGGGTTACTTTGTATTACTTTATTACTAGATTTAGTACTGGATTTTGTATGAATTACAAAAATTTGCTTTTGCTCATTTTAAAAATCATATTTAGACACTGAACTCATGTTATGTCTATAGACACACTTCCAAATTTCTCTCTTTTTCCCATGAGACATTAGATACACGTCTTCAAGTAAAACACACACATTTCTTATCCTATAATGTGTGTTTTTATTTTATTTTCCTTGTTTTGCTACTCCTCGTTGAAGTGTACCAGTGATGAGACTTACAGGCTTGTCTGATCTTTTTAAGTAGGAGAAGTTGCAGTGGCTGACTAAAAACCACTGTTTAAGTACTGCCGCCTTCACCTTTTTACATCCTCTCTAGCTCCTCTCTCAGCCCTTGGTATCCATCCAGCTTCTGGTGTTCCTTATTCCTGATCGCTTGGTACAGCGATGACTATCACCATGGCCTTCTTCTTCTGCTTTCTGCCACTACTATGTCCGGTTGGTTACTCCTCAGCAGTTTGTCTGTCTGTATCTTAAAGTCCCATCAACATCTTGGCCTGGTCATTCTCAGCTACCCTTGTCGGCGTATCCTGTTTGGATATTGGTTGTTGTTTCATCCTGGATCGTGCTTATGACTCTCACTGGTCCTCCTTTCCATGCATGGTAAGGAGCTTATTTTTCTTTTTTCTTTCTTTTCTTCTTGAATTAATTATACAATCAGTGGGAGCTGACACTGAATTTGTCTAGGAGTGTTAATAACCCAAGTATGTCGGGGGATGGATATTTACTCTCCATTTTGTCAGAATGCCACAACGCAAGGGTATTCCGGCAAAGGTGGAGGTAAATTAATAAGACCACTTGTGTTTCTCGTTTTTATTACCTCTGCTTTTAAAATGCCCGGTTTTTAAGAACTAATGAGGTAAGAAATAATGCTCGGGTACCTCATCTGAGCAAATGCATTCAGAGCTCTGCATTCACCTTTTGATAACCATCAATATTGAACAAATCAGCAGTTGTGAGAAAAATTTGGTATGTGAAAATGCACTTTGAATGCTTCAAATCATCCTGCACAACCTCAGAGGTTGTCAATCAGGTTTATTTGAAGACAGCCGGACCTCTGCTCCTTTCCTCTGTTTTAACATCCCAAAACCTGGTCACAGGTTCCTCCAGAGCTCCACAGGGCAGCTGTAGACATCTCCTTGTTTTTTGATAAAGTTCAGGTAGGAGAAGACATGGAACGTCCCATCAGGATTGGCAATAGATTTAATTAAAGCATCTTCCATTTTCACCTCTTCAGGAGGAAAGAATTTGTTTGTGAAGCAGATGAGGGTATTATCTTCTTCTTCTATCACTTCCTCTCTGGGTTAGATGACACATTTCTGGTGGTTCTGGTGCTTGAATTTGTCCATTATATTTTAAATACCATGTCAAGATAGAACGTGAGAAATAAAGTGTAGTATCCCTTACCTTTAGTCCTTGTAGCTGTCGCATCTGGTTTCCATTTATATATATATCATATTTACACATTAATCTATATCTTTCAGCTAATTCATAGTTCCATTCATTACCGGTAGTTGTTTGTATTTTGCTGTCCCAAATACCAATTTCTTTTTTAAAATCTGCATAACAGAGTTCATCATCATCCAGAGTTACAAGGACCCGAGTATCACTTGAGTCAGAGCACCCGTAGGTGCAGCAAAGTTTGTGACCAGCCAAATGAAGCAGCAACAAAAGCTTACACAGTCATGATGATAAGATTATTTCTTCCCGTTGTCCTGTTCAATACCATGGCAAGTAGATTGAATTTCTGACTGCCATAGTTGTGCCAGACAGATGTACTTTTTACTGGCAAGTAGGCCTCCACCCCTGGAAGCAAGGGAGGCCATATATTTGTAAAGCCCTCTTTTCTACCCAATCCTTGAGGATTTATTTATTGTCAGTGCGTTATGTACATTTTCATGCCAAACATGAATGGGGAGAGAGTGTAGTGTCTGAAGCTCCCAATTAAGCGCAGACTCTTCTGGCCATAGAGCATAAACACATTCCTAAAGTAGAGTGTAGGGAGGATGTTCAAGATAAGGACGAAATACATTCAGCCTACACCCCTGGAGCGGAACAACAAAAAAAGACAAAAAGTGAGCATTCAGGATATGGATAAAATATAGCCTGGCAACACGCCTTGATAGAAACAGCCTGGTGTAAGACAAAAAAGCACAGACACGGGATGACCAAATATAAGGGCAGGCACACCCAGAATTAGGCAGAGTCTTCTCTGAGACCTCTCCAGACTTGCTGCATCGATCTGTATTCCGGACTCGGACCTGGCCGACAATAAAATCCTCTTTTGTTCGACCAAGTCTGCCTCAGCACAGTTTTTCCTGCAGCACTTTCACTTGAGCTACTCGAAGACGATCGTCCCATAATTCACCACAAGAAAAAGGAATCCAACAACCAGCTGCTATCAAACTGCTCCTGAAGCTTCCATGGGGAAAGCTGGAGGAGACCTTCTGGAATTCCTGTGGAGACAAAAAACTAGCGAACAACAGAACACAGACATCAAAACATCCAAAAGACTCAACGGCATTGATGCACAAATGGTGCGATGTAGGTTTTAAATGGACTGTGCTCAGCAGTGGGTTAACAGAGGGCCACATTTTTCTAATATTGTGAAGAACAACACCAACCACAGTTGGGTCACAGGCCCTCTCCGGGGTCATCCCGGGGTGACGTACACACCCAATTACGTTGTGAAATCCTACAAGGAAATAAAATGATTAATCCAAATCTGTGGTTGCAGCAAAATGTCATCAAGAGAATGTAACCTAAAATTAATCTCACAGATATTTGACCTACAACCCAGTGGAACTCCTCGATGGAAAAATGTACTAATTTTTTGTTGTTCACACAGAATTACTATAAAACTCTCCCGACTGGATGAAGAAATGAAACGGCGTGAGAGGTTTAAAGAGGGCGGAGATAGAAGAAACAGAGTTTTTTGGAGTAAAACTTGCTCCTGACCAAGTTAGGACTGGAGAGAATGTCGCTGTAGCAACATAAACAGAGGTGGAGTAACTTCTCTTTGTCTTTTTCTTTGTGATATGGAAAACTCAAGAGTTTTGACAGATAGATAGATAGATAGATAGATAGATAGATAGATAGATAGATAGATAGATAGATACTTTATTGATCCCCAAGGGGGAATTCAAGTGTTACAGTGTTAATAGGAGTTTTCTATAATCCTGCTTTGTGAAACGGACCTGGGCTCTTCCTACTTGAAACTCTGTCTTGAATGTCCACCGCTGATGGTCACTGGAATCTACTCAGGGACGTCGCTTTGGTCTGCTCTTAGTTTCGCTAAGTGTTATGTGCTGTTCCAGCATTGCTCCATCACCCCTGCCTCCGGGAGCCCTTTTTTCAGTGGAGGATCTGGTTCCTTCTCCTGGCTTTGTCTGGTTACGGCTGATAGGCGTATCACAGACAAACAGCGCCCTCCTCAGTCTAGATCAGTGTTTTTCAACCTTTTTTCAGCCAAGGTACATTTTTTCATTGAAAAAATCACGAGGCACACCACCAACCAAAAAAGTCAAACAAATCTGTAGCCGTCTATAGTAACTCTATAGTTATTCTTATCTTAAGTGTCTTGAATAGGAATCAAATAAACACAAAAATGATTTTTTATCATATTTGATATATTTCTTCTTTCAAATTGCTCTTAACATGTCCACTTCAATATATAAAATTATATCCAAAATGTAGTCATAAGGAATTATTACATGATTACGCCACCAGTCACTAGTACAGCACAGACACCCAAAAATTATTTGCAGATAATTAATTCCTTATCAAAAAATCTTCTTAGACCAATTAGGTGAAATAGGATGATTTTCTACGGCACACCTGACCATCACTCGCGGCACACTAGTGTACCAAGGCATAGTGGTTGAAAAACACTGGTCTAGATACAGTTTACCTTTCTAATTCTTGGGGGTTCCGACAAGAAAAAAAGGATTTGTAAGAAGAATGTAGAACACAAAAGCAGGTCCAAGGGCACAAATGATTTTTCCAGATCCTTAAATCAACAAAAACAAAGCAGGAAAAAACGAAAGTACAATAACAAAACAAATAATCCTGTATTCATGCTATTTGATATTAATTTGACCTAAATATCTCAATTCTAAGTGAATTAAATATTAAAATATCTGGGCCATTGCCAAAATTCCTCACTATTCAACATAACAACCTAACTATGGCATTATCGAACAGATTTATAACAAAAAAACACTCCCAAACAAGCTTAAATTAACTTTTGTATTATTTATTAGTCATTTCTGCACAAATATAACAAAAAATATGTGTTGGCTCAATGAGGGACACACAGTCCCTCAAATCTTCTATAAAGTTATGTCATACTAACTTTGTTACAATAGAATCCTCTGTTAGAATCTCTAAAAAGGAAGGGGAAAAGCTCAGGGAGGTTAACTGTGTGCATAGCTTATAACGGACCTCCAGAAGCAAATAAAAGAAACTAAAATACTTAAATAAATGCTTTTAAAATAATACAAAATGGTGTTTTGATGTCAAACTGTTAGTGGTTCAGCCCCAGAGGTGAAAAGCAGTGATCATGTAGCTAATTTATTAAATTAGCTCAAACAATATTCCGTAAAAGTGATTTAAGTTATGAGTTTGATTCAGCTACCACAGTGTGAGAACATGAAGAAACAGAAGAGGCAACCACTAAAAAAGTAAAGTAAAATAAAATAAAGGAAAAATGTGATTATTTCTGTTTGAAAAATGGAAACATTAGTAAACTTCCAAACAGTGAAACTGTTGCTTATTAAGTTAGTGAATGAAAAGATACCAAGTGTGGTATTTTTTTCTGTTAACCATTAAAAAAAAAGGTATTCAGGCATCTGCAAATGACTTATATTGTGCAACTAAAAGCAAAGAAATCTAAGTGTTCAAATAAAAATAAAAATGTAAAAAACAAACCAGAAAATCCTCCCCTATGAGAAGTTGGAACGTAAATGTTTCTTGGTTTAATCTATAAATCTCTTTTGTGTAAAGGAGCTTTTTGAAGAGGGCACAGCTTTATTGGCCTTTTTAATAATCAAAAGAAAATCAATTTTCGTCCTCCGGACAGGAGGGATTTAATCTCCGTTGTCTTCTCAAAGGGAAAAAAATCTGTAAAAAAAACAAACAACAAAATTAAGCAAACATCTAGCCAGCTGGTTGTAAACGTGACCTTTCCCCCCCCCCCATTTGCAGCGGTCAGTGCTTCAGACTCCCCTTGTTTCTCTCGCTATAGTGGTATTTATCCATCTGAAGTGGGCTTCGATAAAAGGAAAAAAAAATCTGTCAGACTCCGTGTCATAAACATCAGTGTAAACACCAAAAAATCCAGGTAGCTTGCATGTCAATACTCCACCAGGGGGTTCCAGAGACTGCTACAGTCAAAGCTGCTGCAGGAACTAATACTGCAGAAAAACTACTACCAGATCCCCACCCAAAAAAAGAAATATATATATATATATTTATATGAAATCAGTTTCTCTAAGTTTCACTTGTCAAAGGAACAAAACACAGATTTCTCTCCTCACCGTCACAAGCATTGTGTTATCAGTTTTAATGCTGTGTTAGGGTCATTCTAGAGAAACTGTACAGGCACAGAGTGGTTCTGTTGTGTTGCCCCGGTCAACGGGGGACAGTAAGGGAAAACAAAAAAACAGAGTTTTTCTGCTGGGAAGTTCTCTGGGCGCTCGATCGCATTAACCGTGGACTGCGACTCTTTCGGTGTTGCCAAACTTCTTTATGATGCTACGCACATGTAAATTGTGCAGAGAGGTTAGTTTGTACTGTTTTGATGTTGTGTTAAGATAAAAAGAAGTCTAACTGGTCAGAAACGCAAATAAATCCAAACCAACAGGATTATTGTTGGTATTTATCATTTGGAGCAACAAGGATATGTCAATTAGCTTTCTAACACAAAAGGAAAAGAAGGAAAAAGATGAAACTTTTGTTGGAATTGTCAGTTTGTTAGCAAAACAGTTAATGAAAACAATAATCCTCAATAAATTTCACTGTAACTGATGGTGCTGAAGCTCAAAATAAGCAACTCATGTCACTGCTCAGAGGGTTTATGGTGATAGAAATGGTTGTTTTTTTTTATCTCTGAAATTCAGCCTTAGTCTCTTCAGCCAAAAATTCAGCCAAAAATTATCTTAGTCGTGCTCCCCACCCCCAGATTTATTCAACCAAATGTGTCAGTTAGTGTTAGTGTTAAGGTGACCAAGAAGAGTGACAACGATGATAAGGTCTGAAAAAGGGTCAGAGGAAACAAAAGGTTTTGACAATGATATTACAAAACATACAAATTTAAGCTAAAATGGGCTTTTAGCAGATTGAAAAGATCGAATCAATCCAAATAGCAGTCAAGAGTGTAATTGACAGGAAGATGCCTCTTTAAAAAAAATAAAAAATTGTGTAGGCACATACAAAAAAAACAACAAAAAAAAAAAAAAAAAATACAGATTATCCTTCGAGTTAGGTTTTATGCTTATATTATTCATACATAAGTAATGCGTCTTGAAAAAAAATACAAAATTCCCCTAAAAATAAAAGGACTGCCGACGTCCAAAAGAAAAACTTTTAAGGAGAGGTTTTGGCCCTCAAGCACTTCACAAAGACACCCTGTGATGTAATCTGTTTGTATCAGAACATGTGGATGATGCCGATGGCCAAAACGGACAAAGGAAAGATCACTCAAAGACGAAGCCAAAAGCCCCTTGTTGCTGCAAAACACAGTCACAGCCAAGAGGAAATATTCTAACGCTGTGCTTTGGCCTGTTCACTCGCAGTCGAACCCAACATCATAAAAAAAAAACATAAAAAAAAGCCACGAACTCCACGTAAAGTGCAAACGGACGAGGTTTTCCTCTCACGGCGTCAGACCAGCTGATGCTCCAGCAAAACCAGCGGGACGGACACAGGGCCGGTCAATGGCTTTCGATCACCACGGGCTCATAGCCGCCGGCAGAAACCCTGAGAGACACAGGTCATGCAATCAGACAACACAAACATACTCAAATTTGTCTTTTTTTTCTTTCTTTTTTTTTCTTGTAAATGCTTGAGTTTTGGCTAATTTAATCTGAAGCTTTAAAATATTCAAACAACCGACACTTCAGTTATAAGAACACAGAATGAACACCAGTACAACAAATGCAGGGTAGAAATTTTAAAGATTACAAAAAAAAACGTTATCTTACAATTCTAATTCTAATCATTAATGTGATTTAGCACAAAAATAACATGTACTTCTACTCTGTGATCAATTCTTCACACACCGTCTCATCTGAAAGTGTGTAAAGGTCCACATAAGCTGACCATCACATCCCGGAAAGTGGCAAGTAAAAAACTAACTAACAAAAAAACACGTGCTCAATGTGCTTCTCTCAGTATTTTGGCTCTGAAATCCGTATTTTCTCAATAAACAGTTATCCATCTTTCCAAAACATGAAATTTAACATCTAAATTGAAGAATTCTTTCATGCAAGTGAAAGATACTGAAGTGTCTTTTCAAAGATGGTCGTCAGGTGTCAAGTTTCTCCAGTGAGACACGACCATTATGTCAATAAAATTTAATAATACCGTTTTTGCTAAACTTTTATTCACAATATTTACATCTCAAATTAAAACTCTACAAGTCACTACGTTACTAGACACACAGAACTTTACTCTGAAGGTGTGTAAGCTTTTATTTAGCAGTGCCGACACGCCACAATCAATTGATTTTTGACATTTTGGACATGTGGGGGAAAATGTAAGACACGTGGGACAAATTCATTCTTATTATTTTCTACGCAAGTAGTTTAAATCTGTGTATCTCCACCTACCACACAGGAGAGTAGTGAGTTATTTTACGGCATGTAGGAAGGACAAAAACAACGCAAACTACATTAACAGACGCTATCAGCAGAAGTAACAAGTGGCGAAACTTTCAGAGAAATTTTTTTGAAATTTTGTGGATTTTTATTGTTACAATGGGGTGGAGTGACAGTAATGTTTTCCAAAAAACATTCGACTCAAGTAAAGCACAAATTCTCAAAAACTATAACTTTGAATGTTCTCCAATAAGTTAGAGGCTTGAGTTTTAGGCGCTATGTCCTTTAATGTCAACGTCTGAAACTTTGAAACGACCCGTCTTGTGAAACTACTTCCATTTACTTGAAAACGAGCCGAAGTCCGAAAACTGTAAAAGTGAAACAGACGCGGTGGGGAAAGAAGAAGAGAGAGTTCTGTGCGGACGGTGAGGCGGACAGAAACAAAGGGGAAAAGGGGTAGTGGACGAAGAGAGCGAGGGCCTTCTCACCTGTTTCCCAGCCTGATGCTGCTGAGGGCAGTGGTTCCATCTCTGCTGACGAACAGGCGGAGGTTACTGTCTGAAAACATGAGAGAGAACAGAAAGCTCCTTCATATGGTGAGGGAAAGCTTTGCAACACAACTTTTAAAATGCTAAGATCGGAAAAGGGTCGTCGCATGTCTTTGTTCCATCTAATAATATCTGTAGTAATTTATTTATTTACTTATTTTTCAATATAGTTAAAGACAGTCTATGCCTATTTATGTTTTGTATCTCCTGTCTGTAGGACTGATGTACATGGAAAATATAGTAAGCTTATGTGTAAATGGAATATTGAGTATGTGAATCAATAAAAAATCTGATTTTTTTTTTTTTTAAAGAAAGAGGAGTTGCTAAGATTTATTATTGTGTGCTTCGGTAGGCTGAATAGAAAGTGTTGCTGTTGGTTCACAAATCACTTAACAATATGGGGCCAGAATACATTAATACATCAATTACATTGATTTTCTTGTAGAATGTAAACCAAGTATAGCTCTGAGATCTTTAGGCTTCAGTCAACTAGTAGAACTTCTAGTTAGGACCCAATAGGTAGAAAACGCATTTAGCTTCTAAGCGGTACAGAGGTGGAATAAACTTCCTCTTGATACCATATTTTAAAATTCTTTTTCATTCTAATTACATATGTAATTTTTTTGGTCTTTTAATTAATATACCACACCTTACTACCTTTTGTAAAGGACTATGAGTTGCCATTGTCTATGATCAGTCAGTAAGTGTGGAGTGTGTATAACCGTAGGACGCAGTTATGTGTTCCATCCTGTACCGTTGACAAATCTTGCAAATTATTTTGTCGTTTTGCTGACTCGGCATTTCAAAATAGTTGCTACAAAGTTCCGGCTCTGGCAGCAAAGCCCTCCGGCGTCACAGCTACCACCACACATGTGCATCAAAGCTGTGTTGCGGTCGAGGCCTACTGGAAATCTTTCTGGCACATTTACACTTTTCCTCCTGCTGTACCTTCAGCGTTGTTGTCCACGTCAAAGTTTTGACTTTGGACGATTTTCTCCACGATGTCGTCCGCATCCATGCGAGTATCATTTACCCAGGAGGGTTGACTCTCCACTGAGTCCTGCTTCCTCCTAGAAAAAATCCCAAAACACATTGTTTTAATGGGACCGAACTGCAGAAGCTTTCCCGTTATTTCCTGTATTGAGAATGGTGGCGATGCGACGACTGTACCGAGAAGGCCTGCTGGGGGGCAGGACGGGCCGCGGAGGTCGGGGGGGTCTCTCCGGACGGCCAGCGTCGTTGTCGCCCTCTGGAGACGCGTCGGCCGTTAAGGCTGTGCCGCCAGAGGTGCTGCTTCCTGTTGAAGTGTTCCTGTGATGCGTGAGGTCCGATAGGCTGGAGGAGCAGGAGTGCTCGGTGCTGTAACCTGCAGGAAAACGAGAGGCAACAGAGGACATGGCGTTTGAATTTTTTTTTTAGAGAGACAGACAGACAGACATTGATAGGTCGATGGATACCTGAGATTTTGCTGTGCTGGCTAGCGTAGCTGGAGTTACGAGAGTGACCAGTCTGGAATACTTCTGCAGAACCCAACTGATTCTGACACGCCTCGGATTCCTCCAGGAGACCTTACAGCACCGGAAGAATAAAACTGTCATTAAAAACGTTTCTTTTTTAGACAGAATAAAAAAACTCAAAAGGTTTACCGGCCTTGCAAAGTAATAGGGCTTTTATTTTACATGACTTTCTAAAAAAGTTTGTTTGTATGGAAATAAATCTGGGATGGTTGGATTGTCTCTTAATCTGAAAAGATACCTACTCATTAAATGTAAACAATCCAAAATCTACCAAGCAATCTTTTCCAGATGAATTTCAAATCAAAAGATTCAAATACTGGAAACTGCAGCTCCAGACACAAGTAACATAAAAATGTTTACATTAATTGTCTATTTGTAGTGCTTTAAAAAAAACATAACTAAAAAAAAAAATATATATATATGTAAATTAGAATTAGAATAAGAAGTTGCACTCTAGTATCCAAATGAAAATTTGAGCTTGAAACTGCTAAAAAAGTACACAAACGTTAACTGTGAAAAATTTTGTGAAACTTCTCATCTCCCACTTCCATGAGGCTAGTTTTTATTTTTTCCCTAGTCCACAATACGCCCATCTTGTGCAAACCATTCAGTGTGAGCACACTCTGTGTTAGAACAGTGTATTCACCTTTTTCTGACCTCCCTATGTCCTCTCTCACAAAGGCAAAATTCCAACTTTGAGTCTTTGAGCTTGAAAACCCACTTCCAGTTAAGCAGGGCACCCTTCAAACATCCAAAACATGACCCAATCTGTTCGCCAAGCAAAACCCTCTCCAAAATATTTTTCTTTTTTAACTGAAATGCAGGTCTTTTCAAGGATGTGGATTTTACCCGAGCTGACAATGGAGGGCCGGGGCTTTGAGGATCGGCCCAGAGATACCCGTCCAGCTGGCCACGATCCCTCGGCTGTTCCCTCCCCCTTGCAGTCCAGCTGCAGGGTGTGTTCTCGTCCTGGGATGGATATGGACTTTGCAGTGCTTGGAGGCCTGCATGGGAAAAAAAAAAAAAAAAAAAAAACTGTTTATCAGTCTGGAGCAGAAAAAAAAAACATGTAGAGGAGCAGCTCTGCTTAGTTTGGCATGCTAAGATAGGATTCTTGTTATTGACCAGGGGAAAAAACGTATCATTGCGGCAACAAAGGACAGAGAAACACAAAGATTACACGTGGGAAAGGATGGGTCTAAAAGTTGTAAAAGTGTGGGTTTAAAAATAAAATAAATACATATGGGTGTGGCTCTGTGTCAGGGGTCAATCACTGCTGTTAGCAGAATATTGATAGATGCAAACTAAAAGTGGGCACACTTTGGAGCACTAAGCAACATGCCAGCGTCGATCACTGGCAAATGGCCACACATGGACTTTGGGAAAATTGGGATTATACCAAAAAAGTTAACAATGCTGAACACATTTTAGGGAATGGCAGAACCGTACAGCTGACTGGTGGATTTTTATAAACAGAAACGCGTTAACATTTTATTCTGAATCATTGATAAGATGCTTTTTATGCACAATGTGCTGTTTAAAGTTTGGTGAAATGCACACAGGGAGCCTTGATCTTTCAGGGAAAACGTTTGGGATATCTGTGGATGATAAACTTGGACAAGTATGGTAGCGCCATCCATCATCCAACTCATTTTCAGATACTCATTCTTGACTTTTTAACCTTGGAATCACGTTTCTAGTCCATGATGGGTCTTTATCTGGTCGACATGTTTACAGATTCTGTGATCAAACGTTCAGTAAATAACATAAGTTTGAGTGTTACTTACGTTTTGAAACATGGATCTCCAGACAGGAGAGTCATTCCGATGATCACCTTTAAGACAGAAGGCATAAAATAAACACAGTTGAAAAGAAAAAAAACATAGGAATTAATAAAGGTAAAAGATTGTTTCTATTTCAAAGAATGTCAAACCTGACGTTCGTGTTTGTGACTGCTCAAGGAAAGCAGATCTTTCGGATTTTCTAGTTTTCCACATTTAATGAAATAATAAATTCAGGCTATCTGATCTAAACCTATCTGGATTATGAAAGCCTCTACTGTCTACTTTTAATAAAATCCATGTTTGAAAACAGCTTTTCCCACCGGAAAACCAAACCAAACCCAAATAAATCAATCAGCCGCGTAACTGGACGACTTTTGCTGTATCTTCTAAAGAAAGCTAGCTAGCTAACTTTCACTTTTCGCAAAACGACCTGCAACTTCATGCAAAAACATAACAAAAGCTCAAAAGGTTGAAATAACCTCATCCTGGTCTTGAGCTTTGGAGCCGTTTTTTAGAACAGAATCTCTGTTGGCTGAGAAGCTGAACTAAAAGAGACCCTATGAAATTTTCAAAGAGTCTTCTCTGACAGCTTTCAAGCTGAAAACAATCTGAAGTTGTTGTTTTTTTAGGGCAAAGTGCAACACCTGATGATAAAACTGGCTTTGGATGATGGCTTGCCCTTTGATGAAGCTTTTTGTTCTCCCCCGGTTAGTTCACAGTGGATTTATATTTTCCTTAAGAGTTTTCATATCAAGTTTTACTCCCCTTAGCTTTTCCACATGCCCTCACCTTTAGAATGGAGTTGTCCTGGCGAGTGTTCTTGGTGTCGTATCCCTCCAGCAGACAGCATCGCACTGTGGAGCCAGAACCTGCAAACTCTGCCATGTTGAGGTCCGTGAAGCCCAGCTGGGAGATGACGCAGTTGACACAATTGTTATTTCCAGGCCCACTTATGCACAGCTTCACAGCGCTTTATTTCTGGCCCAGGCTCAGAAGGGCGATTTGGTATTGTTAACGTCACAAGCTTTTAAAGTTTTAGTGCATGGCAGGGCGCAAAAGACCAACACTAGTTCTACTACACAGTGACAGTCTATTAACTATGAAATGCCTTAAAACCAAAAAGTCTTATATAGAGAATAAAATCTGTACAACTTATAGACTAATACACATACTAGGGACAAAAGATTACACATGTTAGACTAGATATCCACAGGGCAAGTAAGGTAATGTCAGAGGTAGTTGAGTATACATTTTTTTTAAAAAATTTTTAAAGTAGCAGCAGAATATTCTTATTTAGGCATGGTGTGCAAATTGGCAATTGGCACAAGCAACGTCAGGCCAGAGGTAAAGCTGTACTTTTTAAGCTTAAAGACAGCTACCGAACAGGTCATAGTACAGCAAAGTGGTCGCAGATTGAACTTAAAAGTCTGGAAACCTGGAGGTTGGATCAATGTCATGGCTAATATGTTTACACATAAGCATATTAAAGTCTAAAAACAGGGGGGTAGGATTAAGACTTTACACTTAAAACAGTCTTCAAAGTAGCTTTACTGCTATAATATTTTATTAGCTGAATCTTCACTAATAATGAAGCACCACCTTGGTTTTTTTTTTATAGATTACTCAGAGCAAATGCATGTGTCTTGTGTATAAAACTGTAACTTCAACTTTAACTGGAGAAATCCTGTTCTATCAGAGACGTGACCGTCCAAGAATGTGACAGTGGCAGCACATTTAGAAATCTCTGACCCCTAAAGTGCAGGTCAGGAGTCTTTGAATTCCAACGCTTCCCCAGATTAAACAGACTTCATCTGTATACCTTAAAGCTTTTTGGCGGTTGGCAATGGGCCCTTTGTCTTGACTACTTTTGTGTTGTTCTAAATCAACTCCGCAGCTCTCTAAAGCTAAAGGTTCCCATTCTTTTTTGTCAAACGTTTCCCCTTTCTGGAGGGGAGCTTCTGTTTTCACAGGTGAGCAATTAAGGAAGCTAACTTCTGAGGAGGGAAGCCAGGGTATATTTAACTCGAGGAAATCTAAAAGGAGAAGGGGGGAAAAACAGAGGAAACGGTTCCTGTAGGGATCGGCAGGAGTTAATGTGCAAGGGAGCTCTGACCTTGTAGCTCCATTCGTGAGACATGACTCATTCATTAGGGGCTGTAACGGTTACGGTTCGGGAGGTGCTGGCAGGATGTTTTGGACAGGTTTCTGATTTATGTTTGCGCTCGGCCGGACCGGACCGGCTCATCAAAGCTTGCTGAGAAATGCTAATGTTTACCGGACGTGGCATTTGGTTTTACGGAAAACTATCGGCCTGCTTGTAAATGTAACCGTTTCGATACATTTAGAGCTGGAAGAGGTGAGGAGATGGAATGCACAAGCCCTTACCTTCGTAAATGCTTTTCCTCCTTTGAGTTCCTGAAAGGGGGGGGGGGACGACAGGAAGACGGTAATAAAAAAGGATTAGATTTGTAGATTTGAGGATCTTGTAAAGAGGGAAATCAAAGTGAAAGCAACACTTCTATAGAACAGAAGAAAACATCAGTGTGTAAATACAGGATGTAGTTAGACCATTATCTCTTTGGGTGAAAACCTTCCTTCTTTAGGCGTCGTACCTTTCTGACTGACACTCTGCAGACAGAGGGATCCAGGACTCCAGTGTGGGGGTTGGCGCTCATTTTTGACACGAAGGTAAATCTCTTCCTCCAGTGCACGCAGTTCTCCTGAACTTCCTCTCTACACATATGGAGAAAAAAAGAAATAGATCTGAAATATCTGAATCATAAACGTGGTGGAATACACAACTTCATCTTAAGCAATCAGCTTTCTTAAAGTTCCTAAAAAGTTCTTCAAATGTTGAGTCCAACACGGTTATAAACACACTGAAGCATCAAGAATCTATTGTCCTTTTTTTTTTTTTTTTTTTTAACTTGTTTACCAACAGTACTGTTTGGCCAAATACTGGTGTTACTTTCTATTTTTACTTCACAGTGACACATTTTTTCCCCTTGTAACTCTGTTAAAACAGCCGCATGACCACAGTGTCCACTGAGGATTCATCCACAGCCTGAGTGGTGAAGCATGTCACAAACAACTTTTTCTAACTGGATTACAGAGCTGGCTGTGACTGGTTCTCGTGGAAGGGTTGAAAATTAAATAAATAAAGATTTCCCGGATGATTCAGTGAAGCCATTTGATCTGCACAGCATCCTGGAAAACAGATGGGTGGAAAGACTGTAGTTGTTTCAGTAATGCTTGCTCGTTAAAAAAAGGTAAGGCGAACATATATAGAGAAGATCAGCAATTAAAACCAAACAAACGAACCAAACAAATCCTAAAAGGGGTCACAAAGACACATAAAGGTGAATTTGTGGTGAATAACCATGTGGCTCAGGGATGTGATATGGTGCCAAAAAAATTCCCCAGAAAAATTGAATTTTATGCAGCCCGATGAGACATCTGTAGTAAAAAACACCAACAGTTGTTCCATTTTAGGACACCAGCACAGATCCAGCACATTTACCTCATTTTGGGCTCAGCTGTAGCTAATAAGAGGGTTTTAGTCAGTGTGTTGTTTTTTCTAAAAAAATTAAAAAACTAAACAAAAAAAAACAATGGTTTGGCAGAACTACAGTAGAGTAGTCATAAAATGCTCATTTATTATATCGTGCTTGGAGAAAGACACATTTCTTGGAAATGGTCTAGTCCACTAGGCCAATGTCCTGCAGGTTTTAGATGTTTCACCGCTTTAACACACATATTCATATCAACGTGCCATCAGTATGCTTGAGTAAAACTTTTGAACTTCATCTGAATTTGGTGTGTTGAAGTTTGGAAACTTCTAAAAACCTGTGGCCCCTGACCCGTCAAGGACTGGGCTTGAGCTCTCCTGGTCTAGTGCAATATTTTTTTAGGCTTTTTAAAAGGCCTTTCTAATCTGATCTTAAATAAAAATGTATTAAAAAAAGACATTTAGGTATTTTAAATCGGTATCAAAAATGGCAAATTATTTCATTGGACATTTAATAATTGAATTGCATCGTTCAGAATTCTGTTATGCATTTAATAATTAATTGATGTTTTTAATTATTTAATTATATCATTTTAACAATATTTTTACAAATGTTATGATACATTTAATGAACGCATCATGAATGAATGATTTATAAAAATAAATTCATGATTTATTTATGTAATTCGGTCACCCTTTGCCCTCCATACTGATAAATGGGAGAGGATTTTTAATTGTATTTATTTATTTATTTTTACGGAGAACAGAGCAATGGGCAGACCACTACCAAATATACGTTTTGGGATGTTCTTCTAGAATCTAGCTGCTCCAAAAGACAGGTTAAAGAAGAACACAAAGCTTTTCTTAGAAGGTTCATATATTTGTTTATATTCATATTTGCACATATCCTAGCATCCACTGTCCATACAGCTTGTTCCTGGCAGGGTTGCAGGGGAGCTGGAGCCCATCCCAGCTGACATCATGTGAGAGGTGGGGGACACCCTGGACAGGTCTCGAATGTATTTGCAAATATGTTGATACCGACATATAGGTTTACATTATTTTCATATATTTGCTGAATATATTTCTCCAATTTCAGAACAATATATAAATAAATTAAAGGTGGATCAAGATACACTAAGAACTTTAAATGAAGAATGAAGGGCATTGGACAGTTAAATCACAAATATAAAGATAGATTTAAAAAATGAAGTTCAACAAAAACATCAAGAATGATAAATGTCTCATGGAAAATTCAGTATACTTTTATTGAGATGGATAAATTGAGAGAAGAGTGAACATCCAAAAATATACAACCTGTCTCAGAACAGAGGTCATCTCTCTGATTAAATCATAGTAATCATAATCGTGTAGAACTAAAACAGAACACCCAATCAGACCCAAAAATAAAATGGCCAGAGTTGTTCTTAACTCTCTAAAATATGCACACGCATATATGAGGAACCAAAAATCACTACATGAGAATCTGGCGTCGTTGTGAGAATTACAGTTCGGTTCATTCCCACCGTTTGGTCAACCACAGGGTTTGGCTAAATACTATGCTGCTAAAGAAAGCCATCATTTCAGCGAATGTTCAAACCAGGAAAAGTGTATTCTCTTAAAAACGGCGTTCTCTGTTCCTAAACATAATAGCAGGGAACTTTAAATGGATTCAGTTCTAAAACAAACTGTGTAACGCCACCTTGATTTCAACGGAGCGGCACCGACTGACTAATACAACATTCAAGCTTTGTTTATTCACACAAATATCAGCCTGCAGAATAAATAAAGACTACTCAATGTGTGGAGCAGTTCACAATTCAAATGGAACAAAAACATAAGAATAAAAAATCCCACCATCTGTCACCTCCCTCAGGAAGCATGTTAATTTGTGTCACTGCAAAGCGTTATAATGATGCGTTTACCTCCCAATCACCTGAAAAATGCCTCGTGTGATAAACTTGCTCTCCATTTTCAGCATCAACAGCTCGATGGCCGACTGATAGCTGTGTTGTACACCATGCGAAAATGCTAAAATGTCTTATCTGACTGCGATAACCAGGGTGGAAACCAAAAAGGACAGCGAGAGAGGTAAAACTTAGAAGTTTAGCTGGGGCAGTTTGATGTCAAATTCAAATAAACAATTTCAAATCCAAAAGTATTAAAGTGAGTTTTTTCACAAATGTGGAGGAGTAATAATACATATGAAAAGTTAGCCCTAATGTGTCTAAAAGCTAAATGCTTAAAGCTAGCAAACTGGGTCTTTCCGGGCCAAAGACAGAATACTGTAATAAGGCCTAGAAATAAAACAACTTTCACAAAATCCAACCGGGCATGTCGTCGGCCTCAAGTACTTTAAAAGGTTTTCAAGTTCCCCCGATCAGATCATCTTGTGGTTATCTCGTCAGAGTCGGTGCTTTAAAACAAAAGGTATAAACTCTAGTGCACGCCAGGGGCAGCTGCTCCTCACATTCCCCTCCCCCATCGGCATTGTGCATCTCCCCACAACGCGCTGCTTGATTTTCACCACTTCCAATTCTCAAACTTTACTTCCATTTTCTTGAAACCGGATACAAAAGGTAAATTTCCCAGTTGAGTGACTTTTTGCTTTTGGAGGAGCACTAAATGAGGTTTTTAGTGACCAAAGAGATAGTCATAAATCTTAATGCCAACCACTCGTCGATCCATTATCTATACTGCTTGTTCCTAATAGGGTCACGAGGGGCCTGGAGCCAATCCCAGCTCACATTGGTCAAGAGGTGGGGTACACCCTGGACAGGTCATTCAGTAATAAATAAAAAGTTGTTTTTAAAGGTAAAAATCTTGTCTGCAAATGATCAGTTTTCAATTGGATTTTTTCCATGTAATGTCATGTCAAAGAATTAACTGTTGTGATTTGGTGCTATATAAATCAAATTGAATTATAAATTTAATTAAAAAGACAATAACTCGTAAAAAAAAAAATGAAGATTTTAAATTGTCCTGTGTATTTGGAACAATTTGTTGTGCTCCAATTTTTGTTGCTATAATTTTTATCTTAATCAGGCTTGGCTTGATGAAAATCCATTTGCGGTATTTCAGAGAGTAAAGAGTAATACTCAAACAATACTCAAACAAAACTCTCCAAACTCTTTAAACCAAGCTTAAACCCAAGATAAATGTCCTCAGAGCTTCTCAACAGCCCAGTTAAAGTGAAGGGGAGGTGAAAATCTCAAGGTTTAAAACTATCTCTGGAATCGAGGAGAAAGGAAGAAAGGAATACGAGAGCCTGCGCATACACAAACAGGGGTCTTATCAGGACCCCCACGCTTTTGGTCCTCCAGTGTGTAAGGTGGAGCCTTCCCAAACCACATTCCTGAGTCCAGATGGCTTTGTTCATGGCTCCATGGAAACCTCGCGCTGAAATCCCACAAATGACTGCCAGCAGCTCAGAGGAGGAGACGCTGATGCCGAGCCTCTATTTGTCAGCCTCAGACACACTCAGATTGACCGTGTCAGACTGTGCCGACTGTTTCTAATCTCACCTGCCATTTTTCCAGTGCCCTCTGTGCTTTTATGTGCTCGGCTTTTTAACCTCGGGGGGAGGCTGGGGTAAAACACTGCCCGGGAGTTCTGCGCTCCGCTGTTTAACTTGCTGTTACCAGCCTGACCTTGGCCTCTCACTTTTGCCTTAGATGCAAGCGTTTTTGCAAATCAATACCTTTCAGGGAGCCACGCCCCTAAAATATACTAGGATAAATATTTATACCTGCCCAACAACCCCTGAAGGCAGCACAAAAAGATTAGAAAAACCGTGGAGCTCAAGGATATATATTATATATTTATTTAAATTTTTGGGATAATTCTTTTCTGCAGATCTGTAAAGGACTCAAAGCACATACTGTGTCTGGTATCTCATAATTTTTTCATTAAATTATTATTATTATTTTTTTATTCTTAAAGGACGTTTAACTCGAGGGATGAACTTGGGTCATGTTCATAGACCACTTAGCAGTTTTAAATATCTTAAGGCACTTTGTTAAAATACTGTTACAGTATTTTTGCACCAAAAAGTGATTTCCAATAGCTAAAAACACTGCTTATCTCTGCATACTATGCAGTGTGACCTTAAGCTTCTTTTCTTCTTAATTAGTAGAGATACCACAAACACCGTTTTTGCCTTTTGCCTGATGTACACTTACGTTTGCATGCATTGAAAAAGAAAAACTAAACCTGTTCTAAGTTT